TTAATGTGGGACATCCGTCAATATATTTTTGTGATTTGACTTTTTAAAAATACTTTCACAGCATAAAAATCTCCATGATTTTCTATATAATGTTCTGGAAAGCATTTTCTTATATTTCTAAAGTTAAATCTGCACACAGTTGTACTAATAAGATTTTACATTATACATATTAACCCTTAATTACCTCACTTTCAGTAAGACCAAATTTCAGTCAATCGAGTCGATTATACATTCATGAGTCAAACATTTACACCCATAAGTACTGTAAATAACTCTTCCTTTAACAAAAAATATTACTTAAGGCAGAGATTTCTTTGGCCAAAACATCACAGGTTCATCTTTGTGACACAATATTCACTTCATATATCATGACAAGGAACACGAGATTTGTCATCTACCATTATTTGGTAATTGGTACAAAGCAAAGGGACCACACTATTATATTCCATCAAATTGTTTCAAGAATTTATGCCCACAAATTAACCTATAGATTCTAGCCTAGACCATGCAAAAATTCAATGGCTTCCATAATAAAGAGAAACAATCCAACCACAAAAATACGTTTTGCTTAATTTGTTATTTTATTTATTTTTTGTGTATCTCATCTAAAATACTAGAAAGTCATCGGAGATTTGGCTTTAGGGGCCCATCTAGTAGTTTATATATGGACTCCTTCAGAGGCGGCTCAACGGATTTAGGGGCCTAAAGCCAAGCTATATTAAGAGGCCTCTTAAATTTATTTCGTAAAATTCATATAATAATGAGACGCATAAAAATTTGCTTTCTGATCTATTGATCCATCAAACTATGACTAAATAAAGTAGCTAAGTCAGAGATCGTGAGTTAAAGTCAGAAAATAAAATAGTAAAAAATATGAAAAGAAATGAGGAAGACAAAATACGCTAACTACTAAGAGAAAAAATTTATTGTTATTTTCTAACTCATCTTTATGACCTCAACAAAATAGGTAAGTTGTTAAAACTTGAAATCTCATATTAATAATTATTATATAAAATTAAGTATATGTTATGCTTGATAATATAGTATACTCTTAGTAATATATTTGGGGGCTTTAGTTTTGGAGGGCCTAAGGCAATGGCTTTAGTAGCCTTACCCTTCGGCCGCCCCTGGATTCATTTTCGAGGCGGAGCTAGCCTATGAGGTGAACCTAATCACTTAAGCTTAATCATTATATTTGTACTAGGAATTTATTAAATATGTATAAATATTTACTAAGACGAGTTATTGATTACATTTAATCTAGATCTGCATTAGTTTGGTAAAACTCATTAAAATTATTCAAAATATTAAACTACAATAAACTCATAACTCAAAAAAAAGTAATGGGTTCGGTGATTGAAATCTCAGTCCTAAAGTGATAAAATTAATATCGTGGATACGCCTTTGTTTGGCTTGTGAAAATAACTGAAGAAAACAATAGTGGTTGCGAATTTGCTTACGTGACTCCATGTGAATCCAAAGAGTTATATACCAATTCTTGGTCCCAAAGAAAGCTAAACTTAAATGATTACTTTAATTAAGGTTTCACTTAAGTTGAATTGACTAATTTTGCTGTCTTCTCGAGTTGATTGCAAGGTTCATTTCACTCACGATTGTTAGGTCCTGAGTTCGAATCACGCTGGAGAAGAAGTGTGAAAACACTATAGATCCTTATAATTTGGGAGGGTTTTTTTCTATAAAAAAATAAAAAATAATAAAACTGCCCAACTAGAAAAATAAAAAATGTCCCTTTTGTATTTTCTTTGCATTAACGAAAAATAGTGCTAATTTAATCAAATATTTGACTAACTTTGAAAATAAAAATGTGGTTGGAAGAATATTAATGCTAATTTTATATCCAAGCCAAGGAAAGTAGTCCTCGGTCTATTTCTTCCTTTTGATTTGCTCTCGCAATATATATATATATATATATATATATATATATATATATCAATGTGAACCATCTCGTCTAAAAAATTAAATTATTAAAAATGAAATACATCTTATTAAGAGATTGCTACTACTATATTTTTAATGATCGAATAATTTCATTTAAATTGTTAAATAAAGACTACCAACTTTTACTTGTTTGCCACGACATCATATTTCTTCTTTCCTATCTTTGTTTTTAACTTTTTCTAGTAATGACGAAATATCATTACTATGTACATGCCTAATTTTATTACGATCAATATTTTCACTTTGCTAAACAACTTGGTCACATATGTCAGCATATTTTGGATAAGAACAATGAATCAGGCGAATAGTATTGCATATATTACAACTTAATATTCTAAAAAGTTATTTTTAGAATGATTTGGTCAACTCCCTTGCGTAACAAGGAAATTTGTCGGACCCCATTAGAATATCGTCAAGTAGGTTTTGGTTTATTATTAGAATCTGTAGTCACTTGAAAATTATTCAACATTTTGTTGATAAAATAGCTTGATATATTATTCATATGTATATTTTCTTCACAAACACCGCTTCCTATTGTTGTTTCATTATTAATCGACAAATTTCACTCTGGCTTTCAGTCTATCACAATTTTCTTTTTTTATTCGGGTTTGGAATCGGCAAAGATCAAGCTCACAAGTTCATTTTTATTTTATTTCAAATGATGATGATATGAATTAAACTTAAAAAAATTTAAGAAGTGAGGATTTATATAACCATCCAAATACACAATTTTTGTTATTGTCATTATTTAAAAAAAGCATGTGAGACACATGACAATAATATATATACATCAGTTAGCTATAACATTCAATGCAATATATATGATATTTCAAAGGCATTAAATGATTAAATAGCTAAAGTAGCATGCTATGACAGCATTCAATGTAACATATACGAACAACAAACTCCAATTGATGTGAACCTTTCAAACAACTATTCGTTTATTTACGGAAAGAAAAATTAATATTTTTTTTGTACGGACGAAATTGGTTTTAATAATTGTAGTTTTTTCCAAGGTTTTGTGAGTTAAAGTAGATTTTGTTTCGAAAATTAAGTGGTTCATGGCAACTTTCATCCAATCTTTCAACTTTATTTTCAATTTTAAGGAGAAAAAAAAAAGAATTCCTAGTTAGAGCTCGTAAGCTGACAGAGACGAATCTAAGATTTAGATTCTATGAGTTCAATCTTTAAGATTAGTATCATTGAATTTGTTATATTTTTAAAATTATAAGTTCATATCTCATATGTTGTTGCAATTTAAAAAAAAAATTACACGTAAATATATATTCCGCATCGAAAGTTATAGTTTCAATTGAAATCGTAAGTTACATTCGCCCTACGTAAGCAATTACATCAGTTGGCAAAATACTCTCAATTAGAATTCTGATGTCATGATTTGGACCCTAAATATATGATAGGTCCATTTGAATGGCAACCATTTGTCTTCGTTTGCACCAGAAAAATGGATAGCAATTTTATCCCTGCGAACTGTTCTCTTCCCAATTGTTAAAAGAGCTGACAATCGACTACCACGGTTTAATTTGGCCTCATATGTTGAATTGGGTGCTCTGGTCTGTTACTCAATTGCACAAATTAACAAGATAGGTTAAATGAAAATAATAGTATTAAATTATGAACGCTCAGTAAAAGTTAAGGTTAACTAAACAATATAGTTATGATTTGCTCGTTCAACAAAACCTATGAATAATATAATTGGTTAATAACACAGGCAAAATTTAACCATGAAGCTAAACTTATGATCAATTTAATACTCTAAGTTTGAAAATTTTATGAACAATTGAACAACTGTAATTTTTTCATTCTCCCGGAAAAGTTGGTTATACCATCCCTTTTTTACAGGCTTACAGCTCTAAGTTTTGATAACTATAATTTTAAAAAGCTTTGAAATGTTAAAATTAATTTATAACCCTCTTATTTTTATACCTCTCATTAATAGCTCTATTACTTTATATTTCTACATTTTTATGTAAAGTTCCTTTTGTTTTTCTCTGGTGTCTTGTCTTTCTAAATCTGCTTAAAAGACGTGGATAGAAAGAAACATCATCTTGTGAACTCACCACATAAATAAATAAATTACCAAAAAGAGCTATAAATAAAATGGACTGAACGGTCATCCGCCACCTGTCAGAATTATTGTACTATCCTCCAAGAATCTGTGGACAACTTGCTTTTTTTTTATCTCAAATCAATTTCATACTTACGTATACTCATGCCATATGCAGAGGTGGATGGATGACTTGGGTTCCATTTTTAAATTTTTTTTGCGTTGAACTCATACTAAGGTTAAAATTATGGATTTAATCTAATATTTATTGAGATTTTAGTAAGTTTTTAAATATAAATTTATACTTTGTATTGAAAGTTATTATTTCAGTTGAAACTGTTGACGAAAGGCTATATCTGCCCTAGTCGATATGTAGTGACAATATCAATGACATATTCTGATTTTAAGTTTAATAAGTTCGATATATAAAGTTTTTAACACTAAATTTATTGTATTTTTAAAATTGGCTGAAATTTAATATTAAAATTTTAGTGAGTTTAATATATATATATATATATGCTTCATATAAAAAAAATATGTGGACTCAATGAACTCTTAGTGCCACTAGCAGGTAAAAAAGAAAAAGAAAACGAGGTTTCTCCGAAGATAGGCAAGGAGAAAACTCCAATTTTAATTTTCTAATGTGTTACTTTCTTATTTGAGTTCTTCTTGTGGACTATACTTACTATATATATATATATATATATATATATATATATATA